CTCTCCTCCTCCTCCCTCCTACTCCTCCTCCTCCTCCTCCTCCTCCTCCTCCTCCTCCTCCTCCTCCTCCTCCTCCTCCTCCTCCTCCTCCTCCTCCTCCTCCTCCTGCTCCTCATTACCCCTATCCTGCTCAACCTCCGCATCCTGCTTCCGCTCATCCGTTCCCCCCCGACGGCCTAGACGCCTTCCCCCTGCCACGGCCCCCGCACAGCGCGGGAGGCGCTCCGCGCTGACGCGCATGCCCAGCACGAAGAAGCTGCCGAGGCAGGCTAGTCTCAGGTCCAGGCGCTCCTGTGCATGGGGGGTGCGACAAGCTGTCGTCTCCTCCTCCTCCTCCTCCTCCGACGACGACGACGATTCCTTCTGTCCTCGCCCCTCCGACTCCTCCCTCCACACTATCCTTGCCCGCCTCCTCATCCTCCACTTCCTCCTCCTCCTCCGCCTCCATCCCTCCGCTCGTCTCTCTCCTTCTCTGTCTCCTAGGAGCGGCAGCTGCCGCTCGTCCAGTGGAGGGCTGGAAGAAGCTGCCCGACTAGTCACGGGTCAGGAAGAAACGTGGCGCGCCCGCCACTGATTGGCAGACTCCTCATCCCTCCTCTCCGCGCCCCTCAGCCCCCGTCTTCCAGTCTTTCCTCGCTCGGTCTCACTTCGCTGCCCCCACCTCCTCTCCGTATCCCTTCTCCCCTTCCGCCCTCCCTGATCCCTTTCTTGTGCTCCATTTCCCCCTCCAGCTCTCTCTATCCACGAACATTCATTATGAATACAATCTCCTCTACTGCCCAAATCATGTGCGGAATTCACCCCGACTATCCCGCGCATTGTTTTGAAGGTTTAATAGCTCGCCTGATGCTTATCAGCCCGTCGACACTTTATGACTCAATCGGCGCGCTCCCGATCCTTCGAAGAGTGGCGCTCTCGCTGCAATGTTGGCCGCATGTCAGGATCGACAAGTTGTTCCTGTCAAGCACAAAGGCGCTCCGAATACTTCCTCGCCGTTCCGCCCCCGTCCTTTTCCCCTCCCGCGCCTTCCCCGAGTCTGCTCCTCCCGCTGCTTCTACTTCTTCGTGCTCCTGCTGCTGCTCTTCCTCCTCCCCCCCTGATCCTCATCAGCTTCCGCGTGAGCAGCCTCCTGCTCGTCCACCACCTCCTCCTGATCCTCCAGTGTACGAAGTCCCCGTGAGGATCGCGCACACACGATGCGATGTTGCTGGAGGATCGAGGCCCTCGAGGACATCCCCGCCGGCGGATACATCATAATGCGGCGCAGCGGGGCACGTCGCCGCCCCCGCCTCTCCCCCTATCCCCACGTCGTCCTCCCAGCACCACGCCTGCACTGGGCGGCCTGGGCACACCCGGGAGACAAGCGCGCTCCTGGAGGCAGATCGCGTACGATGACCGGGCACTGCGAAGCCCTGTTGGGGCTCGAGGTGTACAGGACAGGGGTCTGTGAAAGTCCCAGTAGGCCTCTGGAGACCCCTGGAGGGCTCTGGAAGCAGACAAATGCCCAGACAGCCACAAACCATCATCGAGCCTCGATCCCCGTCCCTACTGGAACCCAGATCTCCGAAGTCCTGTTTTGTTCAACACGCACGGTGCTGTTTTCCAATGTCGCTCTGCCGCCCTTCCGCGCGCCGCTGGGACCATGTCAAAGACGCACCACCACGAAATTCGAAGCCGGAGGGCTCTGGACGTAGAAAAATACCCCCCCCTCAACAAAAACAGTCATCGAGCCTCGATCCTCCTCCCTATGGGACCACGAAGCGCTGTACTAAGTGGGGGATATGGTGTACGCATACTGATGAGGGCAGAGGCAAGGAGGAGGAGGAGGAGGAGGAGGAGGAGGAGGAGGAGGAGGAGGAGGAGGAGGAGGAGGAGGAGGAGGAGGAGGGAGGAGTGAAGAGGGGGAGGAGCGCGGGAGATGAGGTGAGGTGAGGGGGCGCGGGGCGCTCTCTTTAAAACGACGACCCAACACCACAGGATGGTTGGGAAAAGTACCCAACCCGCCGAAAAACAACCATCGAGCCTCGATCAACCTCCCTCGTGGAACCCAGATCTCCGAATGTCGTGAGGTGTTCGATGCGGTCTTGTGTTCCGATGTCGCCCTGCCGCCCGTCCGAACGCCGCTGGGCTGATGGCAAAAAAACGCAGCACCATTCGAGTAACCAGGGGATCGACTTCAGTATGGATTTACCCCAAACTTGATTTCCCTGCCGAATCCACGAAACATCCGTATCATGTCCCGTAGATAGACGGACACTCTACGCGTTTCTTGCTAGTCGGCGGGAGACCAAGTCTAGAGTACATAAGTCCATTCTGTAGTCGATCCCCTACTCGAGCAATGGAAGAAAAGACCAGCCGAACCCTGACCAGACCGAAGAGGAGGAGGAGGTGGCGATCTGGGCTCAGTTTGGGCGGCTTTCCTCCAGGGGCGGGGGGGTCCCGAACTTGGCATGCGAAGGCCACTCGTTCTTTCCTCAGTCCAGTCGGGGCTGCCAGGCCCTGCACGCCGGGCGTGGTGCGAGGGGCAAAAAGGCTACGACGAGTTCTAGCATGACGGATGTCGGGCGCTGCCCGACTGAGGACGGGGAGCAAGACAGCAACAGCACGGGAGAACGATGCAAGTCATACGTCGCTGGGACAGCTCCGGAGGCTCACCAAATCATCTCTGTGACGGCGACGACGCCCACGACCCAGACCCCCGACGTCATGATTTCGTCGCAACGTCGACCCTCAGAAGTCTCGACACACTCCCCTGGACCGGTGTTGCACCCTGAGTTGTTTTTTGACGATCCCGAGGGTCGGTAAGGGCCTCCAGAGGCCGAGAATTAGGGAAAACCTCCCGTCACGATTTTTTCATTACCCGAGGGGGTCTGGGAACCAGCCTTGGTGCCAAATCAAAGAATCACTGGCCATGGCGCTGCTACGTGACGGGCCGTCCTACCCTAGAGCGGAAGGGCCTCCAATAGGCCCGCACAGTGCATTCTCGGCAGCCTGCCCCCGTGACCTCCCAGTGAAGCAGAGCTTTCTTCCGTTCAGGTGGGAGGGCCTCCATAGAAATAGGTCGGGCATGTTCCCCTGCAGGCGGATTTTAGACGACAAGCATGACATAGTCAAAAGGTACCCCAACAGAATCACAAAATAGTCTGACACACTGTCCTCTGACTACTTTTGACTATGCCTCCTGTAGAAGGAGAGATGCCCGACTTAACGCGATAGAATACCAACAAGCGCCGTAAACATCAACGGCGCCGCCCCTGGCGCGCTTCGCCGCGCCAGAGAGGGGGGGGGACCAGTGCCAGAGGGCGGACGCACCACCCCCACACGAAACACCCGCACAACCGCCGGCGAGCCCAGGGGGGAAGTGAGAGGGGGCAGGCCCTCTCAGAGGGCGAGTGGGGCGTCTCAAAAGTCCTCGCGCCCTGTGAGATGCCATGGAAGCCCTCTCAAAAGCCACAGGTCGCACCCTCAGGGAGCGCCAGAGCGTCCATTTCGCGAAAAGTCCAGGGCCGCAAACACCCGACACTCGGATTTGCTCCAGACGTGGCTCCATGAAGTTCCGACCCTTTCCTTGGGCCAGCTGTTCGCCTTGTCGCACCAGATCCATTCTCGACGGCCCCGGGGCCCGTAGACCGTCCACGGAGGCCCCAAGGCTATGAAAGACGACGGGATTGACAGCTTCATAGCGTGGAAGTCTGGGGCTGCTGGGCCAACGCCGATCATAGAAGAAGAAAAACGGCCATAAGCATAAACTTCTGGCGCTCCGCTAGATCTGCGCGAGACCCCCCATACCTGGCGCGCGGAGCGCGCCAGGGGCGGCGCTGGAAGCGCCGCCCGGAGGGGCCCAGCGCGGATCCAAGAAATCCGCGCGGAGCGCCAACAAACAGCTTACGTGTAATGCGCTGTTGTTTTCTTCTTCTTCTTCTTCTTCGAGATCATGGGGGTCGGGGCGGTTCTCCTTTTCCCGACGTGCCGACCTCAAGGGGTCCAAACGGACTCCCGCGCGTAAGAACCCTGCGATCCCTCAGCTCAGCGCTCTGGCTCCTGAGCGTCTCAAAGGCGACCCGCGACCGGGGAGGCGAGGATTGCTGAACGGATGGGTCTCGGGATGCCGGGACACCACAATCCATCAGCTCAGTAGTCCTCGCCTCCCCAGTCGCCATGGAGACGCTCAAGGGCCAGATCGCTGAACTGAAGGATCTCAGGGTGCGGGTGCTTACTGCCCGCCGCCCGCGGCGCCGCGGCCCACCGCGGGTGCGGCGGCGACTGGCGCGGGCGCCCGCGCGGGCGCCCGCCGCCGCGCCGCGGCAGGCCGTCGCCGCCAGGGCGCGCCCTCGGGCCGCACAGGCGTGGGCGTTGGCGGGCAAAGGGCCCTTTCAGGGAATTTGGGCGGCCCTTGCACGGCCCGCGATCGAGGCCAACTCAAGGACGAAACTGGGACAAGGATGGCGTCGGACGAGGACGAGTGTGGAATCTCTGAAATCTGGCGGGTCTACGAAAATGTCTGGGGCGCCGCGGCCTTGTGAGAGCGTCCCCGAATGCTCTGGAAGCGTCGGGGGCGCTCAGGAACGGACTCGTCCTCGTCCTGGCCCCGTCCGGGCGTGGCCCTCGCGATCGAAAGGGCTGCTAGATGAGGTCCGACTAGATGGGGTCGGGCGATTTCGCCGCATCGCCGATACATTGCCGATAAATCGCCGATGCATCGGCTATGCATCGGCGATGCCCTGGCGACGTCGGCGATGCATCGGCGACGTCGGCGTGAATAATTATGGGGCCCCACATCGAACCGCATCACCTATGCATCGCCGTGGCAACGGCGATGCGACACGATCCTCCGACCCCTTCTCCTCCGACCCCATCTAGGAGGCCTAGACGATCGGGGCCAAGTTGGCCCGGATAACGGGGCGCAGGCGCCCGCGCGGGTGCCCGCCGCCAGGCCGCGGCGCCGCGGGCCGTCGCCGCGGCGGCGCCCAGCTGCACGGCGGGCCCCTCGTCCGGAGGCCCTACGGGGCGCGCGCGCCCGCCGCCCCCTCGCGCGGCGCGAGCCACTGCTGCAGCAGCGAGCCCTCTGTGGCCGAGGCGCCCACGAGGCTTTCGGACTGCGAGGCCGCGGGGACGAGCGCGAATATCAGCGCCACGGTCAGCAGCGGGAGGACGGACACGACAAGGGCGGCCTCCGAAGGGGGCGGGGCGGGCAACGGCCCCCCCCCAGGGGGGGGAGTAGAATCGCGGGGTGGTGGGGTAGGGTTCGCATGCGGCCTCCTCAGTCTCGATCGCGAAAGGTACATTTACCTTTACCTAGGCAGGGTGGCACGGGGCGGGGGGGGGGCGACACGTCGCAGCCGAAAACGGCTGAACAAGTGTAGAAGCGACGGCCGATTGAACGTTACAGGACGCTGCCTTCTCCAGGCGCCCACTGGTGCCGAGTGCGCGTGCGTTCGAACTGGCGGAATGGCCAACTCTGCGTTGATCGCTGTCGAACTAGACCAGCTCGTTCGGAGGTGCGCCTACACTGGCACACATTCAATCGTTGGGGGGTCGACGCATTCGGGGGCAAATGCTCATTATTCTGGCGCTAATGTCAGCGCGGAACAATCAGGAAATCGTCATTGTTCGATACAGAGGCAAAGTGGTTCCGAAGGCTGAGAACGGTCACCACAGGCGCCCCCCCTGGGAAACCCCTTGGAATCACCTCAGCTAGGTCCGGGTATGTGCTGGGGGGTACCGCGTCGACGCTACCCCCAGGAACATACCCGTACCTAGGCGAGGCGGCGTTTGGCCGAAATCGCTTTCGGGAATATGCTTCGCCCCATAGAGCCTTCCCAACGCGGCCGCTGCGGCCCCTCCAGGAACGCGATATTGCAACGTCGCCCTTGTGGGCAAAGTCAGACGTAGTGCTCGCCAGGATAGGTAGTGGTCGCAAGATAGGCGCCGCCAAGCCGCTTCGGCCTTCAAACGCGCTCGCACCCCCGTCCCCCCAGACGCCCCTAACAAAATCAGCGCGCGTTGCTGCAGCCAAGCGACTAGCCATTTAACGCGTCGATGCGCCTCGAGGCCCGGATGCTGAACCAGCGCGCGCGCGCGGCAAGCTGATCGGGAACGGCGGCAAGCGCCCGATTCCGCGGGCGGCCCTTGTCGCCCTGGGTGTGCTCAGGACCAATGGCTGATGGGGTCCTGGACGCTTCCCGACCTCCCCGCGCGGTGAACAACTACCCCCAGCGGAGCACCCTGCTAGCAGCACCCTGCAAAGCCGAGGCACCAGGTCGAGGGGCAGGGGGCCGGCTACAGGGGGGCAGGGGCGAGAGCCTGCCCATGCGCTCCATCGCGCGCTTTTTTGTGACAAGGGGCCGCGGCCGCCCAGTCCAGGAGTGCCGCTGGAAGAGAGGCGAGAACACGAGTCCCGAATACCTCGTGAGGCACTCTTGGCAGAATCGGCGGCCGGACGAAACGATCTATAGGCAGCGGTCTCGGGGCCCCCCGTTCCCCCCTGCGGGACTCGTCGGTGGTCTTCTCGGCTTGGCACCCTCCAGTGAAGCGCCATTCGGAAGCTGTCGGCCTCCGTGGGCGCTCCCTGGGCCGCAGGAAACTCGAACGGACCCGGGGCAACAAAAAACAGCCCCCGGGAAAGTCACTGACCTTTTGGGGGTCCGACTTGCGAAGGAACACGACGCCGGGGTCCTGGACGTTTCTGTGGGCCCTTCTTGGGCCTCTGGAGGCATCTGGGCTTCGGAACACACTGGTCCCATCCGCCCGCCGGCCGCGGCCGGCGGCGGCGAGCAGGCTGCGGCGAGTCCAGGGTCGGTGGGTACGCCGCCCCGACCCGAATCCTGGGCCCAGGGTTCGCCTTAAAAGGATCACGTGGATAGTTTGTCTACTTCGTCGTCGCGCAAGCAACTTGCAAGCAGCCACCCTCTCCGGGACGATTCGCCGAGGTGCGCTGGCCACTCCGAGAGAACAGGCTAAACGCGCGAACAGCCGTCGTGGACGAGCAGCCAGTGGCACGTGGCTGGTTGGCGTCCGAAGAACTCCGACGCCGTGATTTCTCTCCGCAACGCCATCACGTGGACCCCCAGAGGTCTCGACCCCTTCCCCGAGACCAGTTTTTCACCCCGAGCCTCTTTTTGACGGCCCCGGGGCCCAGGGAGGGCTCATTAGAGCCGAATGGGAGGTGTTGGCCGCTTCAAACCACGAGGTTTTGGCTACATGCTTTTCCGAATGGGCCGAACAAACACACGACGGGAGTGTTTTTGGCCACTCTGAAATGACCCCAAACACCTCCCGTCGTGTTTTTTTTCCCGACGCGAGGGGGTCTGGTATTCAGGTCCTTCGGGTCTCCGGTGGCCGCTCGAAACGATCCAGGCACCCCAGGGAAGCCCTCGGCGAGGCGCAGCTGCTGGAAGGCACCAGGAAGCTGGGGAACTTTTTTGGGAACCGACGCACGCGTCCGAAATCCTCGACCTTCGAACCCAGACCCCGACGTCGCGATGTTTTCATGACGTGACCCCCAGGAGCCTGGGCCCCTTCCTTGGGACCAGTTTTCATCCCGAGTCGTTTCCTGACAGTCCCGAGGACAGGCGAGGGGCCCTGGAGGCCGAAAATAGCGAAAAGGGGCCCGTCGTGACTTTTTAACAACGCCAGGGGGTCTGGGCATCCCGAAGCCCGAAGGGGCCTTCCACAGGTTCTGGAACTCGTCCGACTCGGCCTCGGCGCCGCTCGGGTTCACGCCGAAGGACTCGAGGAGGAGGGCCCCGCAGTTGCTCCCCACGGTCGACCCGAAGTTGTAGCACCCGGCGAGCAGCGCGTAGAGAGTCGACTCCATGCCCTCGATCGGGGCCCCACTCGGAGGAGGAAAAGGTACCCATACCGCTACCCTTCGCATGTTTTTTCTCCTTTCCGGCCTCCCGGGAGGCCCGGGTCGCCACTGCTGGCTTCGCCTCGAAATCCTGGTCAGAACGCGCCCCGGGAGAGGGCTGGGGAGTAGCGGTATCGGTACCTTCTGGTCTCCCAACCACGGCCCAGACCCCCTCGCGTGGTGAACACATCGCGACGGGAGGTGCTTCTCGCCATTTTCCGCCCTGGGGGGCCCTTGGCCCAGCCTCGGGACCGTCACGAAACGACGCAGGACGAGAATCCGGTCCTGGGGAAGGGGGGTCCAGACCTCTGGGGGTCGACGCTGGGAAAAATCACGACGTCGGGGGTCTGAGGCCGGGGCCGTGACGGACCGTGCGGTGACCTCGAAATCCCAGGGGACCTCACCGCAGGGCCGGTCGCAGCACGGTTTCTGGGACCTTGGAGACCCGGGTCGCCCGCGACATGCTCCTGCTCGGAGATCGCCCCAAGTCCCAAAACCGTGCGGTGACCCCGGACCCCCAGTGACTCACCACACGGTGTCGTCACCGCACCAGTCTTGTGGCCCCCGACCTTGGGGCACAGGAACGATCCGCCACCGTGCCGTATGCACGTGGGTTCATGTCAGAAGGCTCCACTGATGCGTGGTAAGGGGGAACTCGAGAAAGCCTTGACAACCTGTTCAAACAGAAACGAAGGGGCCCAAGGACACACAAATAAATACTCACAAATAAAAGCATTCCCTATATTTTCCAATATTTTCAGGTTTTTGTCTTCCCCCCACTTCCCATATGTTTGCATATTTTCCTGGGAGTCGACGATTAATTGTGTCTGTGTGTTTCTTCCCCTCCTGAAGAACCCCCTGGCCAAGACCGCTTAACATGCCCCCAAGAGGCCGCCGGAGGCCTGCAGGACGTCCCCGAGGGTCCCAAGAGACCCCCGAGAGGCCCCTGCAGACCACCAAAGGCCTCGCGAACGGACCTCATAGGCTCCCGGCTCCCGAGAAGCCCTCATCGGCGGTGGACAAACCTCCCTTTAGTAAACCTCCCCTTGGTGAAAACGGCCCGGGACCGAAACCGACGGACCTGGACCCGCAACAATGACGGCCGCGAAGCTCTCTCGCGAACCGAAAACGGCCAATGCCTCAATCGACGTGTCAGGGTAGGTCTATCCACCTCCGACCTCAAGAGGCCCCAGATAAGCTCAAATCTGCGTCTCTAACTCGACCTCCGGCACGCTGCGCCGCTGCGCTGGTGCGGTGGAGCTAGCCGAAGGCAGCTGGACAAGATTACCACCGAGGGCATCCACTGCCAGTTGTAGATGACGCTCTCGATGCAGCTGGCGCCGAGCACAAAGGCGTAGTCGGATATTCCCAGGTGCACGTTCACGCGGGCAAACATCAGCACGTCCTGAAGGAAGAACGACTGCTTCAACATACACATCCGAGGGTCCGCGCAGATCTCTTGAATCGGCGCTGAAGCCACCTCGCTGGCGCGCGGCGCGCGTCTACGACGGCGCCAGAGGCGCCGCCGAGGGGACCCCGCGCAAAGTCAAGAAATCCGCGCGGGCCTTCGGAAGCCTCTGCTTGCACCGCTTTCTTCGGGGGTGGACCAGACCCCCTTTCACGAAGGGGCCCAGGGACACTCAGATGAATGCACAAATCCAGGAATGCCTTGTAATTTTGAATATTTTCTGGGTTTTCTTCTCCCACCCCACTTCCCAGAATTCTATATAATTGCCAATGTTTCCTGGGCATCGACGATTAAGTATGTCTCTTTGTTTCCTCCACCCGAGATTTGATCAAAACATCACTTGGTGACAACGACCTGAGGCAAGACCCCGCGGGCGCGGGCCCCCAACAACAGTGCGGCCGCGACGCCCTCCCGAGAACCGAAAAACAAACTCCTCCACGGCCATCGTGCTACAACAAAGAACTCCGAACAAGAAGCGAAAAAGAGACTCGTCCTCGTCGTCCTCGTCGCCGCCGCCGCCGCCGCCGTCGGTGTCGTCGTCGTCATCGTCGTTGTCGTCGTCGTCGTCGTCGCCGCCGTCGGTGTCGTCGCCGTCGTCGTCGTCGTCGCCGCTGGGCGGCGGCGTCGCCGGCGTCGCCGTCGTCGTCGGCGGCACCAGCCGTAAGGCCTCTCCGAGGGAGGAGCGGAAGGGCCTCTCGGGCCACGCGGCGGGCCACGGCACCGAAGCCGCGAGCCGGGGCCCCGCCGTGCCCTGCTGGGCCCCGGAGGGGTGCGGGCTCCAGCGTCCTGCCCGCCTTCGGCCTCGCAGGGTGGCAGTGTGCACCGCCGTCGGCCCGCACCGCAGTGGGTGCGCCAGGAGGGTGCAGAGAGGGCCTCGGACGCCCGTTCCGAGGCTCTCCGGGCGGAGCGCGCGGCCAACGACGGTGGCCAAGGCTGGACCGAGGAGGCAAAGAGTGCAGGGGTGCCCTTGGGAAGGATGCCCATCCGTGCTATGCCGAGTCGGGCCCGTCCCCCTACAGTCCGATTTTGAACGACAAGTTCAAACATACCACACAACTGCCCTAACAATGCTCAAAAATTGTCAAACAAAAAGTCCCCAGACTATTTTTGGACTATTTCTGAATATTCGGTGTAGAGGGACAGGCCCGACTTAATACTATGCGGGGTGACAGTGCCCGCCTCTGTGCTCCCTTCTCCGACGTCCAGCTGGCTGAAGAAGACCACTGCGAGGTTGGCGGCCACCAGCAGGCTCCGGTAGGACCAGTGGCTCAGGTACCGGTTGTACGTCACGATGCCCGCAAGTGACATCACGGTGCCCACCGTCCCGAGCACGGAGTTGTAGTACATGGCGGAGAAGTGTGGCCCCTCGGGGTAGGCCGCCGCGTCGTCCGTGTAGAAGTCCGCCGCCCCGCCCCCCCTGGCACGCTGAGTGAGGGGGAGCGTTGGGGGCGACGACGCCGCCGCTGCCGAAGCCAACGCCGACGCCGACGCCGAGGCCAACGACGACGACGACGACAACGACGACGACGACGACGACAACGACGACGACGACGACGACGATGCGTCGGGGGGGGCGGACGGGCTCGGGGGGGCGACAAGCGGAACGTCAGGCTGGAAGCGGCGATGCATCGCCGATGGATCGGCGATCGGCTTAAGTGGAGCATGTCCGTCCACAGGAGGAAGTTTCAACAATAGTAACAAATAGTCTGGGCACGAGTGTTATGGTATTTCTGGCTGCTTTTGATTATTGTCTGACTCTTCTTTGTTTGTCATCCAACTTCCGCCTGTAGGAGGACCTGCACGACCCAACGATAGGCCCCCGATGGCGAAGCTGCACGTTCCATGGCGGGGCGGGCCATCAGGCCCCTGTCGGCGATAGATGATCGCGGGCTCTGGGTCCTCGGGCCCCCCCCCAGATGGGATGGGTCCCAGGGTCCTCGGGCCCGCATCTTCCCCCAGATGGGATGGGAGGGGGGGAGGAGGAGGAGGAGGAGGAGGAGGAGGAGGAGGAGGAGGAGGAGGAGGAGGAGGAGGAGGAGGAGGAGGAGGAGGAGGAGGTCGACCATAGATGTGGGCGACTGGGAGCCGAGGCGCCCCCGCCCTGAGCTTAGGTAACTATCCCCTCACGCTGCCCCTCGATTGGGCGCGGTGGGATGCCAAGTGCTGTCGGGCAACGTGCCGGTATTGTCCTGACCGGGCGCTCGCCACCGGGGTTGAGACACACCCAGAGGTCTCGAGTCCTTCTCCGGGACCGGTTTGTTGAGCAGGGACGGACCGCCCCGGCATTCCTGTAGTCCTACCACGAAATGCTCTTAGAACCCGAAAATGTTCTAAGAACAAAAACAAGCTTCTTAGCACATAAACCCGATTTGATAAAACAAGACAGACTCCGCCAGAAATGTTCTAAGAACATTTCGTGGAAACCACAAAAGGTCATTAGAACATTGTTTGGTAGGGCTCTAGGCGAGCCAGGACGCTTCGCCACTGCTTGAGGTTGTCATCCCGAATCATTGTCTTGACGGTCCCGAGGCCCGGTATGGGCCCGCAGAGGTCGAACATAACGAGACACCGGCCGTTGTGTTTTTTTCGTGACTCGTGGGGGTCTGTATCCGTCGATCCTGAAAGACAAGGCCCTCACTGGAACGCCTCGTACGGGCCCGCGCTCCTTAGATGGCCGAGGCAAGACAGCAAGGGACGACAAGAGGACCCGAGATGCCTCCGAGACGGCCCAAGCTGGCCCCAATACAGCCCAAGGTGGCCCCAAGACGGCCCAAAAGGCTCAAATACTGCCCCAATACGGCCCAGGATGGCCCCAGACCGGCCCGAGATGGCCTTGACATGGCCCAAGATGGCCTCAATTTGGGCCGAGATGTCTTGAAGACAGCTCAAGACGGCCCCAATACAGCCCAAGGTTGCTTCAAGACGGCCCATGAGACCCCAAGACGGTCTAACAGGACCACGAGAGGACCCCTACTTACCATCGCTCGGACGCCCAGTCCCCGTACATTCTTCGACTTCGTGCGTGTTTGTTCTTGTAGATGGTCCAAGATGCTTCAATGTGCTCCTAGCTGGTACAGAGTTTCTGGCGATAGCCTCGCCGAGAAAAATGCACACGCCCAAACAATGCCAAGCCTAGTCGGGCCCGTCGAAGCCAGCACCACCTAAATGTTTGAGCGGTTTCGGCACATGTTTGCGCCTTCACGTTTCCCCAAGCCTTTTCAGCTCAAGACGGCCCTGGAGGCCTCCAAGATGGCTCAAGACGACCCAAGTGGGAATGACAATTGCCATGTAATTTTGCAAGGCGGCCTCAAGACGGCACCAAGAAAAGGATCCAACACAACCTTATAGGGGCCCCTTGAGAGCCCCAGGCAGGAGAGACCCCCAGGACTGCCAAGAGGGCCCCACGACTGCCCAGGAAGAGCCCACGACGGCCCAAGAGTCCCAAAGACGGCCCAAGAGGGCCCCAAAGGACCCCAAACTGCCCCACAGGATCCCAAGACAGCTTCAATACGGGACAAATCAGGTACACTCGAGCTCCCCGAGAAGTGAGGAACAAAAGCGCCACGTGTTACACTCTCGTGCCGCCCTTCGAACAGCCCCCTCCTAGACCACAGGGCTGGCACGGTGGCGGGACCCGCCGCAAGCAGCTTGATAGTAGGAAGCACTGCTAATTGACCACGTCAAGGACGCCGATACCATGGTGTACACGCTGAATTTGGCGATCACAGGCGTCAGGAGCAACGAGAAGGCGATAAGCAGCATGAACAGAACCGTAACCGACACGGCGCAATTCACCGCCGCGCTCGAGCCCGCCGTGCCCCCGCCAGCCGGGAGCGAGACGGACTGTGGAACGGCTGGTTGCTGCCATCCCCGCCCTTCCCCTTCTTGGGGTGCGTGCCTGATACGTACATACGGTGTGGTCGTTGCACGAGTGAGAAAGTCAATCGTTATCGCGTTGGGAAAAGAAGAAGGCAGGGAAGACACAAGGCACGACTGTGCCATAAGCACATCCAACATACGCGATTATTCGGGAGATCGTGTCATTTCTCCCAGCCTCATCCTTCCAACTCGATCATTGTCGTTCTAGATAAGAGAGCCGTCGATCAGGAATGCCACGGCCCCGAAGCCAGTGGAACTCCGATCGTGGATTGGCCGTGGATGCCACCACCGCCCGCATGAGATAAGGGATCCTCCAGGGCCTGAACCCTCCTGGGCATGTTCCTTAACGGACGCCCCCCACCGGACGGCCTTCTGGAGAAAAACATGGAAACGTGCACCGCGCAGCTCGGCTCAACGCCGTTCGGTGAATGGCGCGGTGTTGTGCGGCGTCACGGGTTGCTGCAAGGCCGCGTAGCCCCGTTGAGCTGCGAATTAAAGTTCCCCAGACACCGCATGGATGATGGGACACGTGGCCTGGGGGTCTAGCGTCCCGGCCTGCTTTAAATCGCAGGTTTCTGCAGCGGCGAACAAAGGGCCCCGCGTCACGCGTTGTTCGGCCGATGGGTCGCAGCTCCGCAAAAGAAGGCAGGCGCAAGCAGAAACACCTAACATTTTTCGATAGTCCTCGATGCTGCGCTGATGTGTTTGCGCGGCCTGCATTGCACCCGGAGTCCTTCGGTCGTTCGCGCCATGGCCCCCGGCTCCGCAAAAAAATGCCCATGCGAACGCAATCGCTGCCTATTTTTTAGCGCCCCTGCGGCGCGATGGAAGTATTTTCGGAGTACCTCTGGCGCCCGCGAAAGGCACGCTGCACTTTCGGATGGACATGGTTGCGCGGCTTGCCTTAAACCCAATATTTCTGTTGCGGCGAGTCGTGTCAGCAACGTGTCCCGCGTTACGGGTCGTTCGGCTGATGGCGTCAGGGAGCTCAGCTCCGCAACAGCATGCAGAAGCAAAGCGAGTCCCCCCAAACTCGTCAGAGCACCTCCCAGGCCCTGTGGGCCCCGAGGTGGGCCGACGTCGCCCCCTCGCTGTCCGGGGTAACCCAACGATGGCTCGCGAAATTGCCCAAAATTATTCCGCCAATCAGTCCCAAAATGGCTCCCAAGTGGTCTCGGAGCGTACCAGGGAGGCCCGCAAAATTCCTAAGATCACTGGAACAACGAATGCCATTTTTCGACCACACAAGGGTCCCAACAGGCAAACCAAGACAACCCGACAGAGTCCCAGGAGTGGTCTGAGAGGCCCCCCAAAGACCCCGCTGCGAAAAGCTCGCCAAGGCGGCATGGGAATCGCAAAGACGAGCCAGAAGACTCGTCTTGCTCGTCTTGGCGATTGCTGCTGAAGGTCGTGCCAATTGTTTCGTATCCGTGTGGGGCGTCAGCGAGAGTTGTCCCAAATCATCAGCGGCCGCTATTGGGCAGACGCCTTTTTGTCTGAAGTCGACGATGTCCGCGGCGGCACCGGTCCTGCTCAGAATGGGCAGGAACTGATGGTCTTCGTCACCAGTCTGTCCGTAGCCACGTCAATCCCCCAGGTTCCATTCGGGCGAGGATTGTGTCATGATGCCGAGGGTGAAGTCATGATGCGATCTGCTCAATTCCGCATCGCGCTGCGGCCCTCGTCTGCGGAGTCCACGCGGAACAATCAGACATCTGGGAAATCCGAGACATCTTGGAGGATGTGGACAACATGTGTGTCCGTATCCACTGCATCTTGGAGGCTAGGGCTCTCTTCCCCAGCAGCCAGAGGCGCAGTGGATATGGATAAGCATCTGGCTTCTAGCGGCTACGTTGTGATACTATCTCTCTCGTACATGTGTATATTTAGACAACTTATATATAAACATATGTATGTACATATATATATACATATATATATATATAGATGTGTATACATATATATATATATATATATATATATACGGACAGCCCCCCCAGCACCAACTCTTACCAGCTTTCGCTTCATCATCCTCTTCCTCGTCTCTCCCTCTCTCACATTATCTCTCTCCTCTCTCTCTGCGTTTTCAAGTGGATGGGTGAGAATTCTGGGACGAAAATCGAGGAAACCACGTGTTTTCATTTAGATGTGTATGATCTGTGTGATTTTCACCATCCAGACACAATCCAGGAGCCTCCGAAGCTTCAGATGGAGGGTGAGGGAGCAGCGATCCATGTGGAATCACAAGGTTTGCGACGTCAGGGGCCGCCAAACCTTATGTTTTTTTTTTTCATTTGGGTTTCTGCGATTTCTGAAATCAAAATCAAGGACGCCATGTTTTTTCATGGATTGTTGCATTTGTTTCCCGATTTTCACCCTCCAAACACAACCCAGGCGCTTCCGAAGCTTCAGATGGAGGGCGGGGGAGCAGCGATCCCTCTGGAACCACAAGGTTTGCAACGTCAGGGGCCGCCAAACCTTATGTTTTCATTAGGCTTTTTGGGATTTCTGGAATGAAAATCAACGAAACCAAGTGTTTGCATTTGGATGTTTATGACCTGTGTGATTTTCACATTCCAAATGCAATCCAGGAGCCTCCGAAGCTTCAGATGGAGGGTGAGGGAGCAGCGATCCATGTGGAATCACAAGGATTGCGGCGTCAGGGGCTACCAAACCTTGCGTTTTCATTTGGATGTTTGTGATTTCTGAAATCACAATCAAGGACGCCACATGTTTTCATTGATTTTTGTATTTTTTCCTTGACTTTCACCCTCCAAACACACCCCAGGAGCCTCCGAAGCTTCAGATGGAGGGTGAGGGAGCAGCGATCCCTCTGGAACCACAAGGTTTGCGACGTCAGGGGCCGCCAAACCTTGCGTTTTCATATTTGTTTGGTATCTGGTATTGAAATCCAGGAAACCATGTGTTTTCATATTGTGTTTTGAATGTGGTGGACTTTCACATTCCAAATACAATCCAGGAGCCTCCGAAGCTTCAGATGGAGGGTGAGGGAGCAGCGATCCCAGTGGAATCACAGGGCTTGCGACGTCCGGGGCCGCCAAACCTTATGTTTTCATTTTTTATGTTCTGAAATTTCTGGAATGAAAATCAAGGAAACCTTGTATTTTCATGTTTAGGGGCTTAGGGGATTTTCACCCTCCAGACGCAATCCAGGAGCTTCCGAAGCTTCAGAGCCTGAAATCCGAAACAGCCAAGTGAAACACAAGGTTTACGACGTCAGGGGTCGCCAAACCTTGTGTTGTCATGTGGATTGTTTGATGTCCAAGGTTCTGAAGCTTCGGAGGCTCCTGGAATGATATTGTCTGGAGGGCGAAAAAAAACACAAAAATCACAAACATCACAATGACAACACAATGTTTCCTTGATTTTCATCCCAGAAATCCCAAACATCAAAATGAAAACGCAAGTTTTCCGTACCTGTGGTGTCGCGAACCCTGCGTTTTCACAGGGATTGCGTTGGGCGTCTGGGATTCTCTTGTCATCCGACGAAAATCAAGCCCAGGGCCCCTCTAAAGGTCAGATAAACAAAAAGGATCCCTTTGTTGGGGATCTCAAGAGGATACCTTGTGTAGCCGATTTCATTAGGATTCCCTTGGTGGAGGATTTTCATGGGATTCCTGTTATAGCCGATTTCAATCGGATAACCTTTGTAGCCGATTCCATTCGGGTTCCGTTTGTAGCCGATTTCAATAGGGTGACTTTTGTTGAGGATGTCACTAGGACTCCTTGTGTAACCGATTTCAACCGGACTCCTCTTGTAGCCGATTTCAATAGGATTCCTTTTGTGGAGGATTTCAAACGGAGTCCTTCTGTAGCCGATTCAAATAGGATTCATGTTGTAGCGAATTTCAATAGGACTCTTTGTGTAAGGATTTAAATAGGACTCCTTTTGTGGCTGACTTCAATCGTGGCCCTTTTGGAAACGATTTCAATAAACAAAATTCTTGTGTAAGGGTTTTGAATGGGATTCCCTTGGAAGCCGATCTCCATAGGATTCCTTTTGCAGCCGATTTCAATCGGATTCCTTTTGTAACCGATTTCAAAGGGATCCCTGTCAATGAGGAAGACTGGGGGGGGAATCGCTGGAAGCAAGCAGAAGCCGAGGAAGAGGGATGAGTCAACATAGGGAGGACGATCGGTGGAGCAATAGCGAGGAGCGCCAAGACCTGCAGGGGGATGACAGCAGGAAGGGGAACAGGAGGGAGACGACTGAAGACAGATGCTCAACGGAGGATCGAGCAGTGAAAATGCGAATGGGCGCCCCGACGATCGATGTGAAATTCGTGGGTGCTGGGGGGGGGGGGCTGCGCTGTATCTATATCTATATAAGTATCCGGGCGCTCCCGGGATGCCTCTCGGAGCTCTCTTGAGGTCTGGAGGCCTCCTGGGAGCCTGGAGAGCCGCCCGAATGCTATCTTGGGTTGCTTGGGAGCGTTTTGGGCCATTCTGTTACGGTATGGGGTCTTTTTGGAGTCGTCTTGAGCTGCCGTTGTGCCTCACCGGGGGGACGGGAAGCGCGGTACCAAGAGCGTAATCCAGATGCCATCAAGGTGGGGGACGCCCCGGGAGGGAGCCTGGCCTATTTGTTTATTTTTCTCTCTCTCTCTCTCTCTCTCTCTCTCTCTCTCTCTATATATATACATACGCATACAGATGCGTATATCTAACAACCGCGCCTCGGCCACCTGGCGCCCCGTTCCACAGAGTCCAAAACGCAGTGGATATGGAAACACGTCTTGTCCGCAGGAACAGAAATCATCACCATGCCTTCTTGCTCCTTTGATCCGAAGCCCCAGGCGACCCCAAAGCCCCAGCTTCGAGGGAGCCCCAGCAATTGGCTCCAAGGCCGATCCCCCAAAGAGAGCGCCCAGCCTTCCAGTCCTGGGGCGCACGCAAGCCGAGAGGCCACGGCTTCGAGCCCCAGCCTGGCCCGCGAGGCCCCACGATTCCACCTCTGCGTGCCGGATTCCAGGCGCTCTGCGAGGCCGCCTCCAAGCCGTCTCCAGCTCTCCCGGCCTGTCAGGCGCGGGTGGTGAGCGCGAAGCGCGTCTTGAATAACTCAGGCCCACCACCAACACCACCGCGTCACCGAAAAACATCAGCAGGCACAGGACGCACGTCTCGCTCTGGTCGACGAGGAACCTCCTGCGGGTGGCCCGCACGTCGTCGCTCGTCTGGACCCGCTCCTCGAGGAAGCCCATCGCCACCGGCAGAATCACGAGCGCCGCGGGGACCCCACAGATGAGGTAGGCCCACTCCGCCCCGAGGTCAACGATGATCACGCCGGACAGCGCGTAGCCTATCAGTCCGCCGAGCGTGAGGCCGAACCAGACGTAGCTCAGCAGGTCGGGGCCGTGCAGCGGGTGGTCCTGGAGCTTCGTGGAGTACTTGGCCTCGACGAGGAGGTCGCAGGTGGAGATCTGCAGCGAAACGACGAAGAAGCACATCACCAGCACGGTTGTGGGAAGCCCGCCGACTGGAGCCAGCCCGACAGTCAGCATCCCAGCGGCACCGAGCACGCTGGCCCCGATGAAGTAGGGCGCCTTGTTGTAGCCCCGCACTGGCAGGACGTCGCTCAGAAGCCCCACCATGGGCTTCAGCGACCATGGCAAGATCGTCACGCCCGCGTAGATCTGCATTTGCACTGCGGAGACGCTGTAGCTCGTGTACACGTACGGCTCTGCAGCCGCAGTCAGGTAGTATACGAATCCCTTCATGACGTGCTGAGCGCTGAATATAACCGTGAGGATCTTGTAGCCGAAAGTGGACTCCAGATCATAACACCAATTGGTCAAACCGCGCCTTTCTGCGTCGTCTGGACTCGGCCGGCCCAGGCTGCCACTGGCCCCCGTGCTGCCATAATCGGCGTCGCCCGACTTCGTCTTTAACCGCGAGCTGGGGCTGGTCTCGAGGCTCTCGTTTTCCATGCGACAGCAGTAGAGCAGTAGCAAGAACAAGTACCAGTGGCGGACGTATACACCGCACAGGCGATATGGACTAGACCGTGATCGGGTGGCAGCCAGTGCTGGCAGGCTCGATGCTCGACGGCTTGAGCCGACGCTTGTACCGAGGAGGCGAAGCGGACTGAGGAGGATGCGCCAAACACAGCGGGCTCAAACTCAGTGCGCCTCGAACAAAAACAACGCAACGAAGGCCAGAGAGCAACGGCAGCAGGGTGGCAGGAGACTCGACCAGTCGCCAGCGTCACGAACCGAAGAAACCTGGACAAGGATGGCCGTTGAAATGGGGAGGAGAGGGATGGAGACGACAACGAAGAGCAAAAGAGAGAGAGAGATTGTGAGAAATGCAAAGGAGGCGCTGTGCTGTTTTCCTCTGATCCCCCCGCTCAGCCCCGCCACTCCTCTGCTCCTTTCTCTATCTGCTCCGCCTCCCGCTGCATCGCCTCCTCCTCCTCCTCCTCCTCCTCCTCCTCCTCCTCCTCCTCCTCCTGTTGCAGGAGGAAGCACGAAACACGAAGCACCTAAACACGGAAGAGGCCGCGCGGACTCCCCCGATCGGCGCTGATCCCCGCCCTCCCTCCTGGCGCGCTCCGCGCCCCGGGGGCGGCGTCGGAGGCGCCGCCAGAGGGGGGGCGGCGCCCAGAGCTACGACTGTCCTCGAGCGCGGCGCGGGCGGTCTGGCCTCCGACGCCGCCCCCGGCGCGCGGAACGCGCCAGGAGGGTCCGCACGCGCAGCTCGGAAGGCTTTTGGTTCCGGCTGGGGGCTCTCCCTCCGCGTGCAGCGGCGGTCCGGCCCCGGCATGTCGCTCCGCTCCACAGGGCGGGGTGCTGGGAAGGGCTCGCGGGACTTCGGCGCTTGGGCAGCGTTTGCCGTAGATAGCGTGCCGCGTCGCGTCCCTGGGGCGTGGAGGGCCAGAGCCAACGGCCCGGTACGCTAGAGTCCCGTCGCGCAAGAAGGATACAAGGGCATTGGAAGGCCATGTTGACGTTCTTCGAGTGGGGCTGGCCAGCGAAACTTGCCAAGGATGGGACCCAGGGGCGCGGATGCAAGAGCAACTGGAGAGTTGCTCATCCTTACTGTGCGACAAGACTGTCAGCCAACAATCCTGACCGTACCCCTTGGTGGCTTTGGGGCTCCAACTCGGCTCTCTAGCGGCTGCTCAGGACGATCCGGGCACCCCCGAAACGCTCTCGACGAGGCGAAGTTGCTGGGACGCATCCCGAGGCTTGAAAACCACCGAGAACCGCAACAATTTATGAACATCTCGACCGCATCTCTCGAGCAGGAGACCGACTACAGAATATATATATATATATATATATATACTCCAACATCCCACCAGCCCTTTTGGCGTAGGTGGTCTAGGGAGGCTCCTCTTCCAACACCCTTCTTCCCCTTCGGAGAGGGGCTGACCCTTGCACGCTCGTGCCCCAGGGGTGCCTGGCGCGCGTGGCGCCCCCGGCACCCGTGGCGCACCTCGCCCAAGCGTCGCGCACCTGGAGTCGGCTTTGGTTCCCAGTAACTGTCCATCCAAAGACGACCGCTGAAGATGCTCACGCTCGGGTGTTACTTATGTGTTGGGAGGGCGGGTGGGAGTGAGCTAGACGGCTTGCGGGCGGGTGGGTAGCTTGACCACTCCCCCTACCCCCTCCCCTGGACGTGGACGGGGGGGCGGCGAGGCGTTGGAGCGCATAAGATGGCCCAAGACGGCTCTAAGAGGGCCTCAGAGAGCCCAAGATGACCTCCAAGGTGGCTCAATATAGCCTAAGATGCATCAAGATGGCTCTCAAGATGCTCCAAGAGGCCCCAAGAACGCTCCAAGACGGCTCCAAGTGGCAGAAGAGCTCCCCAAGGAGGCACCGAAGAGGCCAAAATCCTTACACAACCTAAAGACAATCATTGACTTTTGCTGTCTCGCCTTTTCGCTTCCGATGGCCATCCGAGGCCCTAAGATGGCTCCAAGATGGCCCCAAGAGAGGCTCAAGAGAGCCCCCCTAGACGGCCCCAAGAGCGCTCCAAGAGCGCCCCCAGAGCGCCCCAACAGGCGATGTTTGGGGCTCCTGAGGGGGAGGCTACTTGAAGCTTCTGTCTTTTTTGATCGATGTCCTCCAAGATAACCCCAAGAGCGCCCCTCAAGCTCCCAAGAGCGCCCCAAGAGGGTCCCAAGAGGCGCCCAGACGGCCGTAAGATGCGCCAAAGAGGTCTCAAAGAGGCTTCCAAGAGACCCCAAAGAAGCCTCAAGAGGATCCCCGAGGCACCCAAGACACTCAGAGACGGCCCTGGGCCCGCCAAAGTGCCCCCAAGACGCTCCAAGAGGCCTCCAAAAAGCTTCCAAGACACATCCGAGGAGACTCCGAGAGGCATTTAAGAAGATTATGGCCCTTCTGTTCGCTGTCCTCTGCCTCTTCCTTATCCAGCTATTCCTCCTCCCCTTTTCCTCCTCCTCCGCCTCGTCCTGCTCCTGCTCCTGCTCCTCCTCTTCCTCCTCCTTCTCTTCCTCCTCCTCTCCCTCCTCCCCCTCCCCCTCCCCCTCCTCCTCCTCCTCCTCCTCCTCCTCCTCCTCCTCTTCCTCCTCCTCCTCCCCCTCCCCCCCTCCTCCTCCTCCTCCTCCTCCTCCTCTCCTCCTCCTCCTCCTCCTCCTCCCTCCTCCGCGTCCTCCTCGTCCTCCTCCTCCTCCTCCTTCTCCGTCCCCGATCTCCCGAGAGGAGGCCCCTCCCCTCCTCCCCCTCCCCATTCTCCGAGGCAGGCCGGCGGGCGGGGGCCGGCGGCCACTCGCTCCTCCGGGTCGTCGGAGGACACGGCGGCCAGGGCCCCCGAGGCTGCGGTCGCCGCGGCCTGCCAAGGGCGGAGGGGCCGAGGCGCCCTCGGTGAGGACCAGCAGGGATCGGCGGCACCAAACATACTCCAAAAAGGTTAAAAATATGCAGGAAATAGTCCCCAGACTGTTTTTTTGATTATTTGGAGGGTATTTATAATTTTTCGTCGAAAATCCCCCTGCAGGGGGACAGGCCCGACGTCACAATAGTCGTGCTGGGAGGAAGGGGTTGGGAGGATACAGGGCATGAGCAACAGCAACCGGTGCAGTGAACGATACCTTCGGTCGCCTGTGGGTAATGCTGTCCTCATGTCTGCCCAGGGCTGAGGAACCGAGGCTCCCCCCAATAGGGACCAGCAAGTGAGGAGAACAGTACACCCCTGATCAGAGCTGAGAAACTAGTAAGCTAAGAAGATGGACTTCACTCCAGGCCTTTTCCGAAGCAGTAGTCCAGGTCCAGATGCGCGAACATGCTACGACAATATGAAAAACTCCAGGAAAGCGCCCAGGGTCAAGCCCAGATTCTTGATTTTCGTGAGCGACATTTGGAGTCAACGAGAATGTACGCCTTTTGTTCAACACATTCCTGGTAGGTGTAATCGTGTTGGGAGGAAGTGCCTCCCAACCCCATCTTCCAAGCCCGATAAACTGTGTTCCTGAACAAGGGTCGGCGGCCAGCCCTGGGGGGGAGGTTTCGAGCTCGAGGTCCGAGGCTTTCGGGCGCCGTCGTCGGTTCTCGGATGTTTTCCAGCCTCGGGATGCGCTCCAGCAGCTGCTCCTCGCCGAAGGCGTCCAGGGGCTGCCCGGATCGTCCCGAACAGCCACTGGGGATCGACTGAGAGAAGACAAGCCCCCGAGCCCGAAATCGCAGATCGACCGATGACTCGAGAATCGGCCGCAGATCCGGTTTGCGCTCGTCGCTCCCCTGAGAAAACCCTGCCCCGAGGCCTCCCTCCCCGGAATCTCAGGGAACCTGCGCCTTGTCTTGGCGCTCGCGCTTCGGAGTTGGGCGCGCTTGCTTTTGAAGGTCCGGAAGGGTGTCCTGGGCTTCGACCGCGTGCAACCCATATCAGGGGACCTGGCGAGGCGGGAGCGCGGGCACCAGCCAGCGCGGCGGCGGGCCTGGGCGGCCTCGAGGACGGCGGGCCACTCGAGCCGGTCCATTGCCTCAGCGTGGCCGGCCCGCGGCGGCGGCGTCGACGTCTGCTGTTTTGAAGGTGCCCGGGGACACAGAGATGAAGAGACACGAATCCCAGGATTCCCAATGTTTCAAATTTCTCAAATCTGTTTTGGATGTTCGTCTCCCCCTCCAACTCGCCATAGTTTCCCTACATTATCATGGGAATCGACGATGCGTTGTGTCCGTGTCTTTTTGTTCCGTCCTGATATGTGGCAACTTCTAGGGGGCATCCATCGCCATCTTGTTTGCTCTTGCGAATCGAGGTGAGTCGACGCTGCAAGTCGGCGCGGGTCGACGCCAAATCGGCGATGATCGAAGCTACATCGGCGCTAATAAACGCTGCATCTGCGTTTTCTCATCGACCACAATACGCTAGCGCGCTAATTCCCTCTGGGGACGGAGTGTCCAGGACATACAAGCCTGTCGTAGTAGTCGGTGCCGTCGCCGTCGCCGTCGTCGCAGTCGCCTGTGTGCTTCCAGGGCCCACCGTTGGCAGAAACATCGTTTTCGGAGGTCTAAGAGGGAGGATCTTGGAGATAGAGGGATCGAGGAAAGGAGGGTCGAGGATGATGGAAGGTGTTATTGAGAAAGTGCAGCTTGGTCGAAGTAGGGAGGATCGTAAATTGGAGGATCGAGGGAGAGGCTGATCGAAGACAGGGGTACGCGTCGGTTGGATGAAGTAGGTGAAAGCATGAAGCAAGAAGGTGGATCAGGTAGATTGAGTCCAGGCCCGCCCACAGAAAAAAACAACACGCATCAAAAGCATATCCATTATTGCAGTAAGAAGGCGCAAAAGTATATTGGGATCTGGGGGTCCCAAAATGCCTACTTTCACCGACCCGCGTGTAGTGCACAGACACAGGGAGGAGATCGAAAGCAAAGGTTTTCGACACGCGTCGATCGTTCAAACCTGAACCGATCGCGGTTCCGATTGTTCGAGATTGGATTCCGTGTGGTCCTGTGGCGTTATACCGTCCCCCTCGGTGCTTCTGGGCCGTTCTATCATGCGGAGTTCAACCTTGAACACCTTCGACGGCGTCAGGGGCGCGCCATCGCCGCATGAACATACCGCAGGTCTCGGAATTTACAGTCCTGGACCCCTACAGGTTGACCAACAAAAACTGAAGCATCTGTTTCGCCACTGGACCCTGTTCGGAGACCCAGGACTGTCGAACACGATCGAGCCTTCGAGAAGGTCCCCCAGAAGGGATCGATTAGGCGGGGAGAAGCGTACTAAAACATCACGACGCCGGCAGGTGCGAGTCTGGGGTCGAGGAGCGGTGCTCGGCGTGCCTGAGGGCTCCTCTGAAGGCCTTCCTGGGCCTCTGGAGGCCTCCGCGGAGGCGTCTGCTGGGATGGGCGCGGGGGCTGCTAAGGGGACAGGGGGGTTATCAATGGACGCTACGGTGGATCGTACCTGGCCGAGCCTGGCTTAGAAGTGGGTTGCCAATGCCCCAGATGGCTTGGGCGGGATAGCGATCCAGGCTGAGTGGGCTCCGCCCACTTAGCGGATCTGTCTAGTCCACCCGAGCCACTGGGGCACGTGTAGCCCACTTTTAAGCTAGGTTCGGCTAGGTATAACCCCTTTGGCGTCCAATGCTAACCCCCCTATCCCCTTCGCAACCCCCGCGCCCATCCCAGTGGGGGCTGCGGTTGGGGACCTCTGGAGCCCTCTGGAGGGAGGGAGGGGTGGGGGGAGGGAAGGAGGAGGAAATGGCCAGCAAGACAAGGGTGGACAAGGGAAGGAAGACGATCCGGAAGAGAAGATCCGAGGAAAGCAGCAATGAGATGATGAAGTCCGCTGCCCTTCAAGAGGGCCATCCCGCCAACGGACGGTAAGGATACGAGCGATCTACAGCGCAGGGGCAGGGAGAGCGGAGGGAGAGCATCAAGCCAGGGGCGCGCGCGCGCGCCCGCAATATCTGGCATCCGATCCCTCCCGCCCATCCGTTCTCGCTATGCCAACTGCTCTCCGTCCAGCACTGGATCTGGAACCCCCCAACTGACCCCATCGTCTCGTGCGCAGCCAGAGTTCAGTCGGGCCTGTCCCCCTGCAGGGGGATTTTCGACGAAAAAATTTAAACCCAAAAGCAATCAACAAATAGTCCAGAAATAATATGGGGACGATTTTTATGTTTAGTATGTTTTGACCCTCTTGGGGCATTTTTAGGGTATTTTTATCTTTCGTCGAAAATCCCCCTGTAGGGGGACACGCCCGACTTAAAGCCAGAAAAGCCAGAGGGGGAAGCCCTGCCTGTTGGAGGGAGGGTGGCCCGGAGAGAGAGTGAGGGGCAGGTGGGCGGAGAAGGAGAGGCCCGCCGCCGCCGCAGGGTCACGCGCCAGCGGCGATGCTCGGCAGGGCTGGCCTCCCTCGCCCCCTCGCTCCCCCGCTCCCTTCCTCTCTCCCTCCCTCCCTTCCTCCTCGCTCCCTCCTTCGCTCGCTTCCCTTCATCTCCCTCGCTTCCTTCCTCGCTCGCTTCCTCCTTCCTCCCTCTCTCCCTCCTCCCTCCCTCGCTCCCTCGCTCCTTAGCTCCCTCCCTTCCTCCCTCCCCCCCTCGCTCCGTCAGTGTCGGCCTCCCTCCCTTCCTCGCTCGCTCGCGCGCGGCTGGGGGGCGGGGGAGGGGGAGGAGAAGCAGCGGGGCGGCCCCGCGTGTCTCGGGGCGGATAGCAAAGGGGGGGGGTGAGAATCAGCTCACGTAGCTGATTTTCCCATCGCCTCCCGTCACCAGAGGGACCCATGCATCGAGGAATGGGCCCCTCGATGAGGCCGAAACCAGCTGCATGCAGCAAATTTCGTACCCCCCCCCTTTCAGAATCCCCTCCTTTCGTCCGGACCGAGTGTCTCAGAAGGAGGGGCGAAGCGCCCGAGAACCTCGTCGTCGCGGCTTCCTGCAACAAAACACACGTCTGGACCCCTTCCCTGGGACCGGCTTGTCGGAGGCGCGACGAGCGAAGGATGACGTAAGCATCAAAAAACTCGGAGGCCCGCGCGGGCTTCTCGGATCAGCGCTGGGGCCCCCTGGCGGCGCCTCCGCCGCTGGACCCCCCTCCCCGGCGCGTTCCGCGAGTCATGGAGGGGGGTCCAGCGCCGATCCGAGAAATCCACGCGGACCTCCGAATTGCGGACGGTCAAACAGGCAAACGATAAAAAAACGCCGCGATTTTTCCGCCGCGACGAGAGACCGTTGCGGGGAGAAGCAGAGGGGGAGGCTGACCTCCTCGAGGGCCTGACGCATGGCCGCCAGCTATGGGATCTCCGCCTCCCCGACGCCCGTCTCCCTGGCTCCACGCCCTACACTAGCGTCCGGCCCAGCGGCTGGGTCTACCTCACGCTCTTGGGCACGTCCCCCCTCGACGATTACATCAAGAGAGAATTTTCCCTCGCGGCGATAATCGGCGTTATGGGAAAGGTCCCTACGGGCTTGACGATTTCTCGACAATCAACTTGTGGGGGTCAAGCTGGATAAATCAAGACAGATGCAGCTAACCAAACGAAATGTGAATAAGCCATTGCAGATCCAACCATTTCTACAACAGTTGGAGCACACCGTGGCCGCTCCAGCGCGAGTCGAGGGACGGCAGAAGTCGCTAAACCCTTAACGAGGGTGGAGGGCATAGCTTAAGGTGGCTCCCCCAGCCGTGTGGTGCCACAGGCTGTGGTGCCGGATGCGCTGTGGCAGTTCGGGGGCGCACTGGTGAGGGGGATGCGTTGCGTTATAGGGGGAGGGAGGGGGACAGGAGGGGAGCATAACGCGCGGCCCAGAGGGAAAAACAACACTCTCCAACCAGGTCAAAGTCCAGCACGTACCCGGAGAAAGATGCAGGATGCTGGCTGCCTCTCTGGCCCGTGACACCCCCTCCGCGCGGCAAGAGCGGCCGCCCAGCGGCGTCCGCGTGCACCGTGTTCCTTCAGTGTTTCAATGTTTGTCATCGTCGCCGTGGTCGCTGTTCTCGTGGTCGTGGTCGTGGTCGATGTCGTGGTCGTCGTCCTTCAGGGTCGGCGGCACCAGCCGTTAGGCCTCAGCAGTCTATGTCTGAGATGACCCTCTCTTTGGTAAGGGCCAGTTGCTGTATAGCTTTCTAGGTTGGATATATACTTCGCCTCTGCTGTTGCGCTACTCGAGGCTCCGAGGAGCTACTCGGTGCAAGACCCTTCTGGAACGCACGGGACCTTACGATGCCGAAGAAACTAATGTGGGCCCGTGGATTCGCCGATCCACACAGACTAGCAGCCGAGCATGCTTACATAACATGTTGAGTGACACCTGCAGGTGGTCTCATAGACTCGGAACTCTGCACTGACCGTGTTGGTCTCAGGGACGGGGGGACTCTGCAGAGACTGCGCGGACGCCGACAGATCGGGATCCCGGGGCACTCTCGGGGACAGTGCGGGCCTTGCCTTGGGCCTGCGGGAGGCCGCTTGGGGCTCTCTGGGGACTCCAGGCCCCCCTTTTGGGCCCACCCTGGCGTCAACGCGGCCCCCAGAGCTCCGACGCCGCGATCTTTGTCACACCGTCGACGGTCTTCCAAGCGGACCCGTTGTGTCGACGGTCCCGAGGGCCGGCGTGGGCCTCCAGAGGCCGAACCTCAGGGGAAGCCTCCCGTCATGATTTCTTCATTGCCCGTGGGGGTCTGGGCCTACCCACCAGACCACCCCAACCCAACCCGAAGACCCGAATCTCGGATTGCGGGGGGTAATGGTTCCACATGTTTTTTTGTCCGATGTTTCCCGACCCCCCCCCCACTAGAAATCACCACGAAATGTTCTTAGAACCCGAAAATGTTCGAAGAACAAAAACAATGTTCGTAGAACAGAAACCCGACGTGATAAAACAAGACAGGCTCCACCAGAAAAGTTCTGAGAACACTTCGTGGAAACCACAAAAGGCTCTTAGAACAGTGTTTGGTACGGCTATAGGCAAGCCAGGACGCTTCGCCACTGCTTGAAGGGCCCTGGGCCGCCCGCGGAGCTCCTGGAACCATCTCGTGGGGCGGACCGGGGCCGCCTCGGGACCGGCTCGGGGGCCCGGCAGGGCCCCCGGGGGCCACCCTGGGAGCGTCACTCCCTTCCTCCTCCACTCCCCTTCCTCCTCCTCCTCCTCCTCCTCCTCCTCCTCCTCCTCCTCCTCCTCCTCCTCCTCCTCCTCCTCCTCCTCCTCCTCCTCCCCCCCCTTCCCCTCCCCCTCCTCCCCCTCCTCCTCCTCCTCCTTCTCCTCCTCCTCCTCCTGCTCCTCCTCCTCCTCCTCCTCCTCCTCCTCCTCCTCCTCCTCCTCCTCCTCCTCCTATCCCTCCTCCTATCTCTCCTCCTATCCCTCCTCCTATCCCTCCTCCTCCTCCGGGAGCGTCTGGAGCCTCGTGGCGCGTGTCGAGGGCCTCATCGTTGCTGTCGGGGAGCCTTTGGGCCCATTGTGGCGACGTTCCTGTTGAGAAAGCACGGCGGCTGCCACCCCAGACCCCCCCGGGCAATGTCAAAATCATGACGGGAGGTTGTTCCTAATTTTCGGCCACTGGACGCCCACGCCAGCCCTCGGGACCGTCAATAGAACGATTCAGAATGGAAAACCGGCCCACGGGAACGGGTCGAGACGTCTGAGGGTCGACGTTGTGAACAAATTCATGACGTCGGGGGTCTGGGTCAGTGCTGTCGGAAGCCTCTGTGTCCAATATGGTGGCGTTCGTTGAAGGAAAAATGGCGGCTGCCACAAGAACCGCAACGCAACTACAGGATTTCCGCTCCTTGGAGGCGCTCCGCGCACCATCTTGGCACATGGCCCCTAAAGAACCCCGGGGAAGACGACGGTGCCTGGCACATCGGAAGCTCGGCGCAGACAGTGTGAGCGCCGTTTGGGAGCGCTCTGCAGGCACCACTCCACTGCCATCTCTGGACAGGGGGACACATCGACCTGGAATCTGCGATATACAACGCCCACAGATCGGCGACAGGGCCCCGATAGTGAATCCGCACGTTGCTGGGCAGGTCGGGGCTATCGGGCACCTATCGGCGATCAGTGGGCGATCGGGGGTCAAAGCATCTCCCCCTATACCTATCCCCCCCTATCGTTGCCCTGACTGCTGGTTGCCAGCGTGAGGCCGTCTTTGGATCTCTTCGGGCCCTCGTGTGCCCTCTCGAAGCTCTAAGCGTCACTTGGGGCCTCTGCCCGATGGTCACTCGAGGCGTCTGGGTGACCTTGGGCTTGGATGTGTCGGGGTGGCAGCACTGTCTCACCATGGCTCGGACGTCCATTCCTCCTGCATTTCTCGGTTTCGTGCGTGCATTCTTGCCAAGTGATCCAAGATGCTCCCCAGTTGTCCCCGCCGAGAAAAATTCACACGTCCGAGCGATGCCGTCTGTTACGTCAAGAACAACGTTTCCAAGCACGCGCGGGTGCGATCATTGGAATCCCAACGGAGCTCGGCATCCTGAGAATCCGGCGGACTTCCCTATATACCCATCGCCGCGATCCATACACAGAGCAGGAAGAAAACGCTAAGGGCCCATGAAACACGGCTGCGCAGCAACGGCCGCGGGGGGGCAGCAGACGCCACGGGCCACGCACGACCGCACCGCCGGATTTCCTGGAGACTGCCTACTGGTTCGTCGAAAGGGGGCCACGGGCTACGGTGGTCCGCGGGCCGCAGCGGCGTTGCAATGAACGTGACACGTAGGTTTTACGGTTGATCGATTTGCGAAGCGACCCTTGACTGACAATGGGGCTGTTAATCTTTGCTCTTGCCCTACAGAGCATTACTCCCTCCTCCGTCGCCTCATTGACAGAGATCGCCTCAGCTGCCCTTCAGCGAACTTCAACCTTGGGCCTTGGGCCATCCTATAGCCGCCTGGGTACCGGCTTGGACGCAATCCCGGGCAATCCTGGACCATCTGGGAGGCCCTTCGATGCTGTCGGGAACCTGCGGGGCCCACCTGGAACGCACTGGCCAGGGAAGACAAGGAATGACAGAGATGGTGAACTACAACTAACGGATGTAGAAGATTTTGAACTTCATGGAGGGCCACTGTGGCTCTTAGGACCTTGTGGAGGTCTCTGGAGGCCATCTTGAGGCCTCTCGGACGTAGGCGGGCCATCTTCGAAGCCAACTAGGAAATACTGGAGCCCTCATCTTGTGGAGCACCTGTACCACGTGAGAGCGCTCCCATGGGTGTCTTCGGGGTATCTTCGGGTCCAGTGGGTCTCTCCGGGGCCGTCTGTGGGCCGGCCACGCCGATCTGGCTCCCTCGAAGCTAGTGGTACTGCTTGCCCAAGCCGGGCTCGCTGCACACGGTCCCGTAAAAGAGATGAGGCGGGGCTCCAGCTTCGATCTCCGCATCTCGTTGAGCAGCGCCAAACCCAACTATCACTGCTCGCACATCTCGGATACGTTAAACCCGGCGCTATAACAAATGACGATGGGCTTCAGTTTCAGCTCCAACATCCCGCCGAGAAGGGCAAAGGACCACTATTAATACTCGCACTTCTCGCTCCTCTCGCACGCGCTGATCCCGGCACTGTAGCTGATCACGTCGGGAACTAGCTTGGTCTTCCACATCTCGCTGAGAAGCGCCCAAGCTCGCTGCCACTGCAAACCCTTCTCGCACGCGCTGATGCCGACGTTGTAGCTGACCAGGGCGAACCCGTGGACTACGTCCACGAAGGCTATTCGAAACAGCTCGCGGGGTCCAGGCGGGGATCTCGACGAAATGCTTTCATGATGACGGTCGGCGGCGTGCCTTTCGGAACCTGGCACCCTTGGGGGGCACAGACGTTTCCCTAAGCCCTCTGGGGTGTGCATAACCGCAATAAGCCATCGAGGACCCCCCACGGGTTATCATTCGCACAGCACCGTAATCAAATAATTATGGGGGGCGGTTTTCGTCGAACGATATGATTAGCACCGCGCAAACGAAAATAAACAATTCCCGCGCCCCGGCTCGGGTGACATCCCAATTGAAATTGGAATGATATTGAAAATAATGATGACAATGGTGAAACACGAGTAGTCATAATAATAATGATAACATGGGTAATGATATCAAATAGATAAGAGTAAGAGTAAGGCCATATTTCGTGAATGTCTCAGGCGGTTTGCTTGTTTCGGCGAGCAGACTCGTCTGCGTTCACATAAAAGTGCGAGGTGCCCTGGTAACGCTTCTGGGGTGCCAGGTGCGTGATACTTTCGCCGGAGAGGGGGGGTGTCATAATTGCTTCTGGCGTTTATGGGGGCTTCTCGGGTTTGAAACCTCTGGGGCCCTCTTCTCCAAGTCACCCTTCGCTAGTTATTGGGAGCCCTGGTGTGCAGAACTTTGAACGTCATCCGAATCCTCTTGGGGCCCTCTGCGGAGGGCCCAGCATGCCCCTCGGGGAATTCTGAAGGCTCGCTTGGATTACTTGCGGCTCTCTCGGGCCACCTTGGGTGCCTCCTGGACCGTCTGCGGATGACGTCGGGCGTCTTGGGCCGTCTTGGAGCTCTCTGTGAGCCCCCTGGGCCCCTTCTGCGGTCCTGGGGCGTTCTGGGCGGTCCCCTGCGTCGTCCTGGCCCGTTCTGGGTCCCGGCATGGCGACAACCAGAGAATCCTGCCGGAGATGAGAAAAGCTGTGCGTTCGCGGCCTCGGGCTGTCGTGGAGGAGCCTCCGCTGTTGTCTCTTTAGGGAGCCTCCCGTGGTTCGTGGTTCGGGAAACACAGCAGCGCGCGTCTGGGAGCCGTCGGGGGGACGTCTTGGGACGTCTTGGGGCCATCACAGGAAGGAAGAAAACCGACACCAACACCACCAGGGACAATTTCCTGGGCGATGCAAGACCGAAGACTGGGAAAGACGGACAGACCCGAAGGCGGCGCAGCCGGTGAGCATAGGCAGGGGACGGATCGGGGGAGGGGAGGCGACGCAAACAGAGCGGTTGCTCACAGAACGGAGGGGGGACGCATGCGGGACAAGCAACGCTACCCCAAACCGTCGGGGCTACAGAACACCCCACCCCTCGGGATCCCATCGGCGACTCCCCTGCCCTACCCATCGTGGGAGCCGAGCCCGATTGCGAGGATGTCCTGAGCGAAGGGGGGGACCAGCACCACCAGGGACCCTCCCGCCGGGCAGAGCGATCGGGTCCCCGAGACCCTAGGTGCCGCGACCCTCCCGATTCGTATGCGGGCCATTTGGGCGCGCGACTGCGTGGTCGTTTATTGTTCCTGCTCCTGTGGGCTCTCTGAAAGCGCTCCTATCAGTGCGCAGGAGAGGCCGGGGGTCGCGCGAGGGCCCGCCAGGGAGGGCTGCGAGGGCCCGCGGGGGGGATTTTGGATACTTGATCGCCCACCCTTCAGGCACGCACCGCTTCGGGCCACATAGGGTACATGATGGTGGGCTCCAGCTCCACCTCCCCCATCTCGCTCAGCAACACTAGAGCCCGCTGCCACTGCTCGCCCTTCTCGCACGCGCTGATCCCAGCGCAGTAGCTGATCACGTCGGGCTCCAACTGCGCCTCCCTCATGTCGCTTAGAAGCGCCAAAGCCCGCAGCCACTGCACGCCCTTCTCGCACGCGCTGATCCCAGCGTTGTAGCTGTTCACGTTCGGTTTCAGCTTCGCCTCCCACATCTCGCTTAGCAGCGCCAGACCCCGCTGCCACTGCTCGCCCTTCTCGCACGCGCTGATCCCAGCGCAGTAGCTGATCACGTCGGGCTCCAGCTGCGCCTCCCGCATCTCGCTGAGAAGCGCCACAGCCCGCTGCCACTGCTCGCCCTTCTCGCACGCGCTGACCCCTGCGCTGTAGCTGAACCGGGCTGACCCGTGGTACCCAATGCTGCTTGCTGCTATCGTGGTGTTCGTGGGTGCTACCGTCGACTGCATGCTGCTGCCTCTGTTTGCTGCTGCAGTGTGCTGCCGCTGCTGCTGCTGCTGGTTTCGTGCTGCGTGCTGGTGCTGCTGCTGCTCTTTGCTGCTGCTGCTGCTGCTGCTGCTTGGTGCTCCAGTGTGCTGCTAGGCTAGTCGTGCTACTTGGCGCAGCCTTCTAGTGGTGAGTGAACCAAGGGGTGAGGGGTCCGATCGAGGAGGCAGGAGAGAGGAGTGACGAGCTACCAGCGAGGAGCGATGGCCGAGGAGAACGGAATGAGAATGGTTAGGCGCGAGTAGCAAAGAGGGAGGCGTACAGGGGTTGGGAGATGGGGGCGAGGGATGAAGAGGAATACTAATAGAGGAGCAGGGTGCGAGAGGGGAGGGGGCCACGAGGGAGCAGCGGTGGGTGGGGAACGAGTTCTGCGAGGGGCGTGGATCCGGGAGAGCGGCTTGAGAAGCGGCGGGCCCCGTCCTTTCCCCTGGCCTGCCACCCTCATTCGCCATCACTCGGACGTCCGTTCCCTGTGCATGGTTCGGTCTCGTGCGTGCCCCCTTCACCAGGTGAACAAGCATCTCCCTCGATGGCCCTCGCCGCGAAAAGATGGGCACACGCCCGAGCGATGCCAAGCTCAGACCATGGCCACCTCGCCCCTGGCCCAGGGCCGCGCCACGCCCACCTGCCCCCTCCTGGCCCCGCTGCCCCTGGCCTGTCTCCCAGATGCCCGCCCGACCCTCGCTGGTCCTCTGCCACCAACCCCTGCCCATGGCCGTGCCTCCCCCGCAGGCCCTCGAAACCCTTCTTTCTTCGCGACCGGCTCTTTCGCTGGTGCGTCACGGTCCTCCTTCCCTGGTGTAGCCCCAGTCCTCCTCCAGACCCCCTCGCCGGTAGCCTTGTGGATGCCATGAGAATGGACACTCTAGCCGTTGTATCATGGAATTTGGAATGTCTTCTGTATGCTCTCTGCATGGTGTAAACAACACGTCGAGACATAATTCAAACAGGTTCTATGATTTTGGACGCACGTTTAAAATACATGCTGAGAAGGTTTTTGACGTCTGGGAACTGTTTGGCAATATGCCTCCTCTCCCTGGGTCATCTTCCACAACACCAGCCCCTCTCCCCCAGGCCCCCCCCCCAACGGAGCTCCGGGCCCCTTTACGTATGTGGCTCGCTGCTTCGCCTTCCCTCCCTGGCTCCGCCCTGGCCCTCTACCAGGCCCTCACCCCTGGCGCCGCGCCGGTCCTCCCCCAGGCCCTGCCCTCAGAGCCCCGACGTCGCGACTTCCACTCATAACTTCGACAGCCATGGAGGTCCCGACACATTCCCCAAGGACGGGCTTTTCATCCCGAGTCGTTGCTTGACGGCTGAGAATAGAGAAACCTTCCGTCGCGATCTCTTTTTCCATGGCTCGAGGAAGTCTGGGCCTCTGGCTCCGCAGCTCGTGGTCGTTCGCTCGTGGCTCGTCCCTGGCCTCCCCCTCCTCCTCCTCCTCCTCCTCCTCCTCCTCCTCCTCCTCCTCCTCCTCCTCCTTGTCCTCCTCCTCCTTGTCCTCCTCCTCCTTGTCCTCCTCCTCCTTGTCCTCCTCCTGCTTGTCCTCCTCCTCCTGCTTGTGCTCCTCCTCCCCCTCCTCCTGCTCCTCCTCCTCCTCCTTGTCCTCCTCCTCCTCATCATCATCCTCCTCCTCCTATTCCTTTCCCTCCTCCTCCTCCTCCTCCTCCTCCCTCCTCCTCCTCGTCCTCGTCCTCCTCCTCATCCTCTCCTCCTCCTCCTCCTCCTCCTCCTCCTCCTCCTCCTCCTCCTCCTCCTCTTGTTCTTAATATTATTATTCGTATGTGTCTTCTTCTTCGTATTACTATCACTAATACTAGTATTCGTATTATTCGAATTATTAATTCTATTACCATTATGATTGTTTCTGTCATTACTATGCATATTCCTCTTCTGATCAAAGTGAGGGGGCGAACGGTCATTAATTGTCCCTGCTGCGTGGCTGAATAAGAAATT